ACTGTGTTGAGGGGGACTGCTGGGGGACATTTTTGGGTCAGGAGGAAGCCTGGGAATCTCCCAGGAATCTATGGGGGAAGACCACAGCTTAGACTCCTGGCAATAGTAGATAAGTAGCCTGAACTTGCCATCTCCTATGACCAGATTGGTGCCTGGCCCAATTGTCACCAGAGAGGTGTCATCCAGTAACTGATGGAGGTAGATGTAGAGACCCAATGCCAAATAATAGCAGGAAGAGAAAGGAGTGTAGGGGCCAGCGGGGTCAAGGGCACCACAGGAATGCTCACATAATCAACTAACCTGGGTTCATAGGGGCTCACAAAGATTGAACTGACAACCAGGGAACCTGCATGGGACTGGCTTAGGCCCTCTGCAGATACGTGACAGTTGTGTCACTTGGTTCCCCTTAACAGTGGGGACAGGGGCTATCTATAATACTTTTACTGGCTTTTGGGATCCTGCTTCTCCTTCTGGATCACTTTGCCCAGTCTCAATACATGGACAGATGCTTAGTCTTACTGCAACTTGATATGCCATGTTTTATTGATGCTCATAGGAGACCTGCCCTTTCCTGGATGGGGATGGAAGAGGAGGGGTTGTGGGATAGGGGGGCAGGATGGGTGAGAGGGACTGGGAGGGCAGGATAAAGGGGAGGCTGCATCCAGAATGTAAAATAAATACATGAAAAAGAAAGAGTTGCTGTGATTAAGTTGTCTCTTCACAGCAATAGAAACCCTAAGTAAGACAATACTCAACCTCATGTTTCTGTACTTTTAAACTCTTTTATATTTATACTAAGTACTAAAAGTTGACTTGTTTCTGACATAAAAGCAACATTTGATTCTCACACATTGTGCTCCATTTTTCTAAACTTTTTAAATGCATCTGAATTATGACAAAGTATGTCTTACAAATTTACAAATTATAAAGTGGTTCTGTAGGATAATACATCTTTCACACCTGCTTTCATATCTGCTGTACACCGAAAGAGAAAGTCTAATAAAATATGGTATTTTCTGCCCCCTTTCCTTAGTATTCAATCCAGTATTCCATGCTGCTGCTGGTAGCCTCAGAGTGCCTGATGCATATTAAGTATGACAGGCCTGGTTTCCAAGGACTAGATGCAGCTGAGCATCTCCAAGTTCAACCAGGCTTTAGGATTTTCATAATTCATACTCCTAGAGTTATACTCTTTGGAAATACCACCCTTTTCCTTTGCTATCAGAAAAAATTCTCTGTTTTTGACACAGTTCTACAAGCATCTTCAGAGAATATAAATTTTACATCGGAATTATTATTGTTCACAAAAGCATTGGAAACTACAGGATTTTAATTTGGGTTTAGGTATTTGGATCAAGATGTAACGTTCCATAAGGACCAGAATAAGTCAGCAGATGAGACTAATTGCTTTATGCTGGAGAATATGTGAAGATGCTGGAGAATATGAATATTTTTAAATGCACATTTTCATCTAAAAGCTAGTAATAGTTTGAATATCTCTATTAACCAAATTATTCTAAATATCTTTTAATGGATTTATTTATCACACGGTAAAGTTGATAGCATAGTAATTAAAGTATCATAATCATAGAGAATATAGTAAAGTTGATGGCATTTTAAAAATAATACAAATAACTTTATTGTGGTATAAATAGTTATGGCCAATTTGTGTCAAAGGTATCTGAACCATGGTAAAATTGAATGTGCAGGTGATAGTGAGGATAGTATTAACCTTAAAGTTAAAATAAATAAACTTCCTCTTTCATCTAACCTTTATGTTTTATTATAATACCTCCTAAAGTACATATTTTAAAAATGACCCTTATGAATCTGCCAGAGAAAGTTTTTCAGGGTAATTATAGGTCTGGGAGAAGGGATGTAGAGAATACCACTGAATGGAGAGAACCCCAAAACGGGGATTCAGGAGAAATGAAAAGACAAGTATACCTCATACTGTTGTGTCATTTAAGAATTGGAGAATCTATGCTAAAATGTAATAACAAATAGTCCCAGAGCTGTCCACAACTGAATGCTTAATGTCTTTAAGATTTGCACATATGTCCAGTGGGAAAACGTTCTGAATGAAGTCTTTCTGAATGGTAAGACTCTGTTTATCACTGTCTACCACTCGTACCAGATGACATGCTGATTGTTTTCGTTTACCTGGGCTTGCACTTAGGGCCCAGTGCTTGCTGTTCAAGTTCTCTGCTGCTATATCACAGCCCCTACAGTGACATTTTGTCAGACTAGTTACAGTTGCACTCTCTGAAACAATCTTGCTTGTGCTTATTTTAAAGCTCTCAGTAAACAACAAAGTCCTGATTGTCTCTTCTTGGTATATGCCTCTTTTCTGTGACATTTATTCTGTAGAATTTTAAACAAATAGTTAAGTATGGAAGCTGAAAACTCTAGATGAAAGGAACATGGCTGGCAGTTTGCTTACAGAGGAAACATTGCTGTTTTTTTCTCAGTAAATTAGAACAGAGCTTGTGAGGAAGCTGTGCTTAATAACAATAGTATACACATATCTTACCATAAGCAGAACACTTAATGCAAAGACCAGATTGAAGGAAAATTTCTTTTTCTATGGGAAAACAGCTTTAAGTTTCTGCCAAGTGAGTAAGACGGGTTTCAGGGATACCTGATGATGGTGTGCCCTCTGGAGTTTGCTTTATGCATGCAATTAATGTGAGCTTGTTTCTACAAACTAACGTATGCAAAAGATGCTATTAGTTAAACTCTGTATTGGTGTGCTCAACTAGAAAGTCAAAACTCCTAGGGGAAGGAGAATGAGAATTTTGATTAAATGGGTCTTTCATGCTTACGTAGCTGGGGATGGGAGAGTGAAGACATAGAGATAGGGGAAAGGTGAGTACTTTTAGCCTTCAGGGTTCTACCAGTGCAATCAAAGGCATGGGCAAAATGACTGTGATTTTAGCATGCAGGGGCCAGCTTGCCAAGGAAACTGTGGCATACAGAAAACAAAATGCATAAACAAACTCCCTATCCAGGAAGCAAGTTTAACAATTAACTCATTAACAAGATCTAGCAAGGACAGGAAAAGAGGAGGAAGCCAATCACTCATTATTATACAGTTCTGGACAGATGAAGCCCCTCAGCATTGCCCCAAACAATGCCTGTAGTGTAGATTTGACAAAGTAGCACATTTAAGAGGAAACTCTTTAGCCATCAATGGGAGGCAGACACACAGTATTTTAGGGCCAAATTCAGTCCCTGAAGCTTGACTTTATCAGAAGACACAAGACAGAGGACAAGGCAGCTATATCTACCAAGAATGAATTAAGAGAGATGGCCAGTGAATAAAATCAATATCCTGACCACTGATCTACATACCAACCATAGTTGCTTTCACCCTTCTATTTCTTCTAAGTTATTTACATTAAAGAGTTCTTGTAGTGCTACCTCAATAGCTGATACCTGACTTTAATGGAAATTACGTACTTTTTATCACATATTGCACAAGACATGTCAACAAAGTCTGATCATCCTGGTGGCAGTTTAAGTTTTGGAGTGGCTGAGATCTTTTTAGTTACGGTTGTGGCATGGATAATTTATTAGTGTGGTGTTTCCCTGATTATTTTGTTAGTTTTATATGGGATATTTGTTCAAATAAACCAGAGATCAGAGCTGCCTGAATCTGTATTCAAATGTGTCTTTGTTGACTACTTTTTGTAACTATTTACTTTAAAACGTTTCCCATTCACAGAATTTCCTCCCCCATACACTATATTGAGTTAAAATAACCCTTCCCAGTACCCATATTTGTTTCTCAAATATATATATATATATATATATATATATATATATATATATATATATATCTTAACCCTTCCCCAGCTGGGCATACCCAAGTAAATTGCAGTTCCCTTTCTGAAGCCAATGAAAACAACCACAGGACATTGGCATTGCTTTCATTATGGCTGGGCAATAGTACAGTTTTCATTACCTTCAGTTTTCAATGGCTTACCAGAGACATCACTTCTCAAGACAGGTTCTTGGTTAAGCCCTTTAGCAAGGCCTGTGATTTCCTCTTGAATCTGTGCTTTGTGCTTCTCTCCTAAGCAGCTCTGAGACCAGCGTGATTTGTCAGTTATCACTTGCTGTGGGCTTTAGCCCCGGTAGGTTCAAAGCAGCCTTTATTATTTAAGGAAAATAGGAAATTCTGCTTCCTGGCTGTAAACATGCATTTTCTATGTCGAGAACCAAAAGGATGCAAAGGGCAGATTTGACCAGTATTTAAGAATGAAACTCTCCATTTTAACCCATACAGGTAATGCTTTTCTTAAAAGCCCTGTGGCAAACATTTTTGAGTCATACTCATTCTGACTTTACAGATCTTACTTATACCATACTCCCTTAAAAATATATGGGAGTGTGACCTGAGTAAGCACCATAAAGCCAGAGCCTACTCTTCCATTTAGGACTGGTTGGCTTCATAAGTGGACATGATTTCAAACCGTCCCAGTCCAACCTCTCCATAGTCTGAAATAGAATGATGCCATACCAAACAAAACACTGAAATGGACGAAGGAAATCTCTATGTTAGAAAGAGTGGATTTCTTCTTACTGAGAGTCTGGCAGCCAGACATAAGGTTTAAACAGAACGATAAAATGTAAAGTCACTCCTGACACAATGGCAGCAGGCAGCATCAATTTTGGTGGGCAAAACAACAGAAAAACTTGATGAGATCTAGAAAAATACAAAAACCCATGATTTAGGCCCACTGCAAGCAGCTAGTGTTCAACCAGGTTGGTTTTTATATGGCCTTCAAAGATCAATGTCAAGTATGATCATTTTAGAATCAAAATAAAAAGTAACTTTTGCCTGACTGTTGATCAAAATTATGAAATGGAGAAAAAGAAAACAAACCAACAAACACACTATGTTCGCACACAGAGTAAAGTACTGTTTTCAGGGGCATCAGGGAAGGTGGAATACTATAACAATGCGTGGTCTATTGTTATACTACTCCACCCACCTTAATGAGGAGCCCTTGGGCGTGGCTACACCGTAGCCTTTGGAATCCAGGTTTCCTCCCACTTTCATGGTGTCACAGGGCTTTCGCTGCTCAATGTATTCATTCATCGTGGACTCCAGGAGGAAGGCAAATTTGCCCTTGGACTTGCGGACACGAGCCACGCCCTCAGCTGTAGTCCTAGTGAACACTGACGGCTCTGCCGATCGCATGTAGGTCCACATCTTTTCATACACTGCTATTTTTGATCTCTGGAGGGAATGCAAATAAAATTCAATACAGGAAAAAAGGGAACAGCCTGTTAATATAGACAAAAGCGAGGTTATGGTAAGTCTTTTAGTGTCATTCCATTATCCATAATTCAGTTCGCCTTGCAGAAACCTAACTCTTCAGAAGCCGAACTTCTAAAATTCTTTTAGGAAAGCAACCAAGTGCCAGACATTTATAGTGATGATTAAAAAGAATATAACGCTTGTCATAATAATTCTTACACTCTACTGTTTCACTGGATATTGTTGTTATTGTTAATGTCATTAAAGGCCCTGAAAAGCACTGCAGATTTAAAAGCTCATGTTCTATCTATCATATTCCTGATGAGGTTGGTAAGGACCAGGTCAGACCTCATCATTGTTTCCGTAGAACTCTTTTCTGGTCTATATTTGAGGCATAGTAGACACATTTTTATATACTTTTTTTTTTTCATGCCTCGAAGTTTCAGTTCACACCAAGTCAATCCCTTAAAGAGACAGAGGATAAGTGTTGGAGTTTATGAACTTAATACCCACTGAACAACACCCAAGCTGCAGACGACTCACACAGCTTGAGAATGAATCTGACCAAATCAACAAACGGGACAAGACACCGGGCTTTAAGGCACATGGTTTCTGTTTTCATACTTCCTTTGGTGTCACTGTAACTATGTGACTCAGGCCAAGATGCTTATTTATTTTAAAAGTTACTTTGTCTCCCTATATTCCTCTCACTACTTAATTTACTTAAGTCCTTTTGGATTTTAAATTTAAATTTCAGTTAATTTTTATTTGTGTGTGTGTGTGTGTGTGTGTGTGTGTGTGTGTGTGTGTCTGTGTATTCTGGGTTGTGGTGCCAGCCTGCATGTGTGGAGGTCAAATGACAGCGTTTGGGAGTTAAATGTCTCCTTTCATAGGTTCTAGATATCAAACTCACTTTTGAGGTTTTCTTCAGCAAGCAATTTAAGCTGCTTAGCTAGCCAACAGCTCCCCAGATACATTTCATATGAAAAATAGTCACATGAACTCAACCTCTTCCAAAAGACACATCTGGTAAGATAGGAAAGTGCTAACTAATATTCTCTGTTTGGCACTACCACACACCAATACTCATCATTGTATTTGTTCCATGACCAAGAATGTAGGAAACAAACCATCTATCTACAAGGGCCTTGGAAAGGTTTGCATGATACGCATGCTTGAAAAAACATCTCATAGTATAGAGACTGTGGTGTATGTGTGAATATACCCTTACCTGTTTATATGGGTGTGCATGCATGAGCATATGTGTGAGGTCTTATGTCAACTATGTGTGTCTTTCCTCTGTTCCTATCCACTGTTTGTTGAAGCAGGGTTTTGTATTGACCTGTCAGGTGAGTTTGGCTGACCAGTATATCCTGAGGACCTGACTACCCTGCCTTTCCAATGTTGGGAGTAGAAGCCTACAGCAGTATGACCAACTTTTTCAGATGGGTTCTGGGTATCAATCTCAGGTCTTCATACATACGTGGCCAGCACTTTAACAGTTGAGCTGTATTGGAGCTCCATTTTGAAAACATTAAGAATACACGAAAAGCACTAATTATTTGGTAGTTTTCCAGTTATAGCTAAACACTATATCAAAATAATAAGGCAGAAAAAAGATAGTACAAAGAAAAACAATTAGGTTGAAAAAGTTTTGGCCCTTTACAGTCCACTTGTTTTATTTCATGTAAATGTGCTTATGGTGTACACGTGTGTGTATGCATGTTACAGTGTGTGTGTGGGAACATGTGTGTGTGTGTGTGAGTTCCTGTGCACTTGTGGCACCTTGAGGCTGAGATTGGGAAGCATCCTTAATTGCTCTTCTACTTTAACCATTGAAGCAGGGTGTCTCAGTCAAACCCAGAGTCTTTTTAGCCAGTTTGCTTTGTGGAATCTCCTGTCTCTATTTTCCAAGAGTCTGGAGTTTCAAGTTGGCCAGCTACCATTTAGGTAGGTTCTGGGAATCTAACCCCTGAGAGACCCACCTAACCCTGAAAAACCACTTCTACGCCACCAGAGGAAAATTGTTGTTGCATTCATTCTGTTTAAAATTCAGAATAAAGATGAGTTCATACAGTGTCTGTGATGACTTTAGAAGACCTAAGCAGAAGTTTGGAAGGACAAACTTAGTGGGAAGGGGTCAGAGGTCAGATGAAAGCACATTCATAGAAAATGCTGGGCCTGTCTTGTCACTGTGGCAAAATTTAGAAATACTGACTTTGACTGAAAGTGGACTGACTTTGACAAGATCATGCACTGACAAAATATTAGGAGAGTCAAAAACATAAATCTAGAAATAATTGCCCTGCCCCTGCTTACCTGGGGCTGTAAGTGTGTTTGTTAGTGGGTGAGGGCAAACGACTATTCACAAATTTACAAAATGGGCTGAAATGAGGGACATTCTGTAGAGCCAGCAAGTCAATAAACACAATGGTCATAGACATTTACATCCCTAAACCTTTCAACTGTGGAATCTACTTAAAAATCAGGTATGGGAAGGAGATATACTCAAGGTAAAAAACATAGATCATATAAGAGTCATTTTTTTTAAAAATTAGAAATGCCAGATTTGCTTGGTTCATCGTTATTGTGCAGTAATGTCCAAGAAGCCACTGATTTAAAGTATTAATATATTAGTTCAAACAATCCATGGAGTTTTAATAATGCTATTCTCATTATTCACATGTGAAGTATTGTATGTAGTGCATTTAACAGAAAAAGTATATCATTCATTCTAATACATATTTAGTTCTTTGCTAGGGGTGAAAAGAGCAGGGCCTGTGTGCTGGGGTCCACTCATCGGTGTCTTGGTTGATGATATTCTAAACACTTAGCTAGTAGTCTACCCCACTTATCTTCCATCGTGCTGATGACTGAAATAGGAACAGGGTTCAATTTGTGCTGAAGTGAAAGTCAGTGTGTCTGAGTCACAAGTGTGATATACAAGTGCTTGAATGGCATGGCTGCCATGAGTGACATGTAGGACGCTTTTGAAAGCATAAGCTTAACACGGTATAGTGTTATACTTAAACCCAAGTATAGTGGGTTTCATAATGGGGTGACGCCAAGGCAAATGCATATATAACTTTCCCCCATGAATGGTCAAAGTTGTCTTCTCAATGGGTAACATCAGTGATTTCATGTGCAGTGCCGCCTGTGGGCCATTCACTGCCGGAGGTGGCTGAGTGGAGCTGACAGATGTGCCATTACCATGTACTTACAAGAAAGCATTTCTGACAAGTATGAAGATTCCCTTCCAATCCTGTTTCTTCTGCTCATCAGACAAATGGGTTATATAAACCAGGTCACCATGAATGGGAATGGAGGGAGGTAAATAGGGTGTAAAATGAACATTGGTTTGGAAAGTGTTCTACTTGGGAAGATTTCTTTGTTGTCTCATTAGTGTTTGGAATGTTCTGCAAAAATAAATACCCACACTAATAAAGGTGTTCCCATTTTAAAACTGAAGTTGGGCAAGACAGAGAGAGGAGAGAGAGGAGAGAGAGAGAAGAGAGAGAGAGAGACTTAGAGGCTTGATGGGGATCAAATTTGTATTGGAAGACTTAAACTGCAGAAACAGGTTTCCTTGTGCCCACATGTTTTATTAATATAGCCTCTTGTCTATCTCACCAGTTTTCAAAAATTGAACAGGAAAAAACCAAAACTTAGTAAAGATTGAAAAGACAATATTTGCAGTGTGTTGGCTGTAAAGAGCTTTGTAGTGAGTTATTATTTGTTTACTTTCTTCAAGCTATCAACATGATGTCTTTTCCCTTCATTACTCAAGGCAAGATGATGAACCAGCAGGTTTTTGTCATGTAATGAACACCATTCATCACTTCTCAGTGGAGGGCAAGTGGCAGCATTCTATTCTTATACAGAATGGTTTCCAGGCAACACTAGTAAATTTATTAACCTCTTCAGTAACTTAAGAGAAGGCTTGACTGAGTAACTTTATCTAAACAATATTGTTAATAAAGTCTACCGTCATGGCAATTACTTAGTCATTCAGAAAAATTTATAACTAGTTTTAGATCATTTGACATTTTAATCAATACTCGTGGTAATACTCAATACTAAGCACATTACTCTTGATTGTTTCATTAAGCTTTGAGTGATTTGTTGTTGATTTAGATTTATGTAAATATTTGTAATAGTATAAAATCAAAATAAAATTCCCTTCTTAAAAGGTAAAAGTGAAGTATTTTTAAAGCCAGCTCATAGAACATCACATTTGGTTGTGTTTATTTTCAAACTCCTGAGAAAATCACACATGTCACTCTTTCAGATGTTGTTTAAAGGTCTGGAAGATAAGCTATCATTGCTTTCAAATAAAAAAGCTTAGAAAATACTGCACTATTCCTCACATTCCAAATAATTTACCATCTCTTGTTTTCAAACAATTGATACTGAATGTGAAATATATTCATTATCATCTACCTCAATATCAATGAAAATTTCATTGGGTATGTTTTAATACTTTGACCCCAAACCCAAAAAAGAAAAGGAAGGGTATTTGGAGGTAGGAGAGGAACAACAACAGGAGGGGACATGGAGGGACAAGAGGAGGACAGAAGGGAAGAGAGAGGCACAGATAACAACAAAGTGTAATAACATATATGAACAAAATTCCATAACTAAACTAGTTGATTTTTTGAGTTAAAAATAAAACAACAACAATAACAAACCCAGCCAGGGTGGTAGCCTGTTCCTTTAATCCTAGCACTCAAGAGGCAGAAGCAGGCAGATCCATGAGTTTGAGGCCAGCCTGGTCCACAGAGCTAGTTCTGGGATAGCCTGTGAGCTCTTACACAGAGAAACACTGCCTCAAAAAATTACAATGGTTAATGATAGAGAAATCTGGCACTAGGAAAATGTCCAGAGATCTACAAGGATGACCCCAACTAACAATCTAAGCAATAGTGGAGAGGTTACCTTAAATGCCCTTCCTCGAAAATGAGATTAGTGACTACCTAATATGCCATTCTAGAGCCTTCATTCAGTAACTGATAGAAGCAGAAGCAGACACCTATAGCTAAACACTGAGCCGAACTTCTAGAATCCAGTTGCAGAGAGGGAGGAGTGATGAGCAAAGGGGTCAAGACCAGGCTGGAGAACCCCACAGAAAGACCTGACCTGAACAAGGGGTAGCTCATGGACCCCAGTCTGATAGCTGGGAAACAAGCATGGGACTGACCCAGATCCCCTGAATGTAGGTGTTAGTTAGGAGGATTGAACAGTCTATGGGGCCTCTGGTAATGGATCCGTTTTTTTTATCCCTAGTATACCAATGGACTTTGGGAGCCCATTCCACATAGAGGGATACTACCTCAGCCTAGACACATGTGGGAGGGCCTGAGCCCTGCCCCAAATGATATGACAGACTTTAAAGACTCCCCATGGAAGGCCTCACCCTCCCCCCGGAGCAAAAAGGGGTAGGGCTTGCTGGAAGGAATAGGGGAGAATGAGAGGGTTTGGGAACAATGATTGACATGTAAAATAAGCTTGTTTCAAATTTAAATTAAAAAATTATCAAAAAATAAAATAATATCTATATACCAAAAATCAAAACAAAACAAAACAAAAACAAAAAACAATTTAACCCCAATGGAACAACTGGAAAAATAACAGAACAGACTAAAAGACACCAATGCTTCAGAGATAGAAAGCCAAAGTCAAATATGTGACACAGTTGTATTAGCATTGTACTGCTAAACAAAAGTCACCAAATCTAAGTTCCATACAGTCATACAGAGGTCCCCAGAAATATTCATTGTTAAGGAAGGGCATACATTTATTGTCAATAGCATTTTGTGAGAAAGCAAACCTTTTGCTTTGAAAACTGTAACTACAGAATAGATTACAGAGTGATTCATCTCATAAAAGATTCTGCCACTGAGGTTTTGGGTGTCAAATACAGCAAGTTAAACAGAGTCTTTCTTTAAAATAAAAAAGAATTTTTCCATTTTTATATTCTTGGCTTCAAAATAGATATAATTCTAATCTTGCCTGAAGTAAAATGATCAGAATGCTATTAACACTAGAACATTGGGCAAGTCATGTTATAATATGACTTTAGTTACTTTTTTACTATTATTTCTTCGAGAAGTTTCTCTTGCAGCATGCATCAGTTTTGGCAAGTTAAAGTTATGATTATAAAAACCCAAGAAGACACACTAAGTAGTAAACTTGCTATTGTCATTGTGCATTCTAATCCACACTAGCTAAGGCCATTATGTAAATGTTGTAATCATTGCCTAGATTTCAGATTTATGAAGGTGCCGTTATTATTCCTGTGACTTACTCGGAAGAATTCTTTTGTTGACCCCGAATCCAGTGTACCATATGCAATTTCTGTTTGTTTGGCCAGGTCTTCTGCACTTTCTATGGGGGAGACCATTCTCTCCACCGTCAGGAAAGCAGCCAGATTAGCAGTGTAAGACGAGATAATGATGAGTGTGAAGAACCACCAGACTCCTCCAACAATCCGACCTGACAGGGACCTAAATGTGGACAAGATCATTCAGTTTTCCCTTTCTAACCCACAGAGAGGAGAAATAGATATCACTAGTTCTCAATCACATTTAAAAGTTACAGTATCAAATATTCTGTTCTTTTCTGATAGTGTACTTAATGAGGCTTACATTGATGCATGCACGATGAATATTAAGTGTCAGTGAAGACATGGCAAAATGACTTTGTTATATTGGCAGAAATGGGGAACTATCCTGTCTGGCAGATAGCAAAGGAGACTCTTGCTTAATGTCTTCAGTACCCTTTCTGACACTTCAGCATCTTCAAAGAAGGGTGCGGCCATTGATAAATGACAGCACTATTCTGGTTTAACTGACTACGTTTTAGCTTCTCTTCATGTTTCAGAAGATAGAGAGTTTAAATTTTAAACTAATAGAGTTTAGAGTTCCTGCACAATGGTAGATGCCTTTCAGAGACCTAGAGAGAGCCCATCAGAGCTCTTCAGGACTCCATGGAAGCCAGGATGACTCTGGACTAAGTGATACTGGAAGATTCGGCCCTAAGAGATCTTACTTCAAGTTGAGTTGATATCCTAAAAGAATATTTTACGTGATATAACAATGTCTAGCAGGGCTGTGTAGGTCAGTGTTAGCACAAAGTAATTTAAAATAAAATACATGGAGGAATGTTCATAAGTAATTTCACTCATTTTTACCAACAAGACAAGGTCACTCTCATTATGTTGTCCAGGCTGGCCTGAAACTCACTATGTGGCCCATAGTTTTCTTAGACTTGGAGCAATTCTCCTGACTCAGCCTCCTGAGTGCTGTAGATAAATCATCACACCTGCCAAATATTTTTAAAATATATATATTTAAATTTTTTAAATTACATTTTATTTGTGTGTTAGTATGGCGTGTATACACTATGTCATACATAAAGAGGCCAGAGGATGACTTGAAGGAGACAGTTATTTTCTTCTACCAGGTAGATCCTAGCAATTGAGCTCAGATCCCCCGCGTTTGGTGATAAGTACCTTTACCACCAGAGCCATTGCCCCAGCTTGAAACATTTTTTGCTTTATATAAACAAAACTTGGAATTTCCTGTAGTTCTTCTACCCCTCTGCCCTCTTTGCTAATTTAAATCAGGTCTTTTGTGATTTAGAACATGGCACCTGCTAGTTGTAGCTTATTATTGGCTTAACCTTCACTTCAAAAAGGTGGGTTTGCTCTTATCCTTCCTTTTTACCCCTGAATTCAATGTTATTGAAATTTAGCAAATTTTACCATTTCCTGGGTATTGTGAATTTCAGATGCACTGGGTTTAAATGGCCTCCTTTTTGGAACATATATATTTATAAACGTATTTGTTTGTTCAAATATATAAAATCCAACATTTTGCTTCTTATTCTCTTTTAGTTACTGTGTGGGAGAAATCCATCTTTGTGTGTGTGTGTGTGTGTGTGTGTGTGTGTGTGTGTGTGTTTAGCAAGGTGGAATTTTGGTGTTGTAGTAACAGAGTTGCAGGACAAAAAAAAAAAAAAAAATCAGGAAGCCCCACGAAGAAACATAGAGTATACATGGCCAGACCCTCTCTGATTCTCAGTCTCCTCACCTGCATTGTGAAAACCATACACATCTACTACAATGCATACCCATTCAGTTTTCAGGATCCCCAAAGCAGAGATTTCCCTTAAGTTATGTGCATTAAGTTCAACAACGATTTTTGATGATAGACCACAATTACAGCCACAGCAACAGTTTTTGGATAATATATACCATAAAAATGGATGTTATTCTATAGTTCAGATTTTGGTAACACCTGTCAAGCCATTGAATGAATCATATTACAAAATAGTACTATGGAATAGTGTTACAAAATAATACATTTCTTTTTATGTTGCATCTAATTTGTGTGGTAGCTTAGAAGAAATTAGTTATAAAGTAGGATTATCAGAGAATTGATTTTTTTTGCTGCATTTCAGATAGTGTTCTGACTGTAGGAGAGGAAGACAGAAACTGTGGAGAACATTCAGAATCTTTGAGAACTGGCAAAAAAGTGCCAGTTTTGTCACTAACCTGGGTGAAATGTCACATCCTTGTTGCATAAAGGCCCCCAGGGAAAACCAGAGGCTGTTAAAGATGCCAAACTCATTGGGAGGCTGGTCGCTGGGACCTTCCTTTCCGTCCTCAGGCTCTTCTGTGTGCCACTCATATGGGCTAAACCTACTGACTAGAAACAAGACCACACTGACACCAATGTATGCAAATACTATGCACATCCAGATTTCATAGGCCAGAGGGTCTAAGAAGGAGAATACTCCCGGTTTGGATTTCTGAGGCTTCTTGATCATGATAGAGATGCCTAAACTCATAAAAGGCTTGGAGAAGTCGATGACCTCTTCACGTACCAAGGTGATTGTTAGAGGTGCAATAGCAATTTCTGCTTTCTATAAGAGAAAACACACATGGAAATAGTGAATGCCATGAGGCAGTTACTAGTGGAGTGACCAGCAAAGTTTATTAGTCATGCATTCATTGTTTAAAAAAATCATTTTGTTTGTCATTTGTGATAAGTCCCAAATACAGGCTAATAAACATGCAATGGCTTGGTTTCATTAAGTATTACTTAAATTGCATAGAATCTTTTAAATTGACAAAGGTTTTTGTGTTTTGTTTGTTTGCTTATTTTTTGAGACAGAATCCTACTGTATAGTTTAGGAGAGCCTTGAATTTGTGAACCTCAGCTTTCCCAAGTGTTGGGATTACATATCTGTACTTCCATGCTCACCCACACAAATATTGTCTTGGATACTTCCTGATCAGTGTTTCCCTCATCAAAACCAACCCAGTTCTTTTGGCAACATGTTTTAGCGCTGTTCATACATAAAAGTCTGGAAACTGGCATGTGCTTCCTGTGATACTCATCCTTTGATTTTCTTTTTCTAATTCACTTTTAAAACAAGATTTTAGAACACAGTTGCTTTAATTAATAGATATCAAAATCACAGGACCTTTTTTCATGTTTTGGTGTACCCGAGTTATTTTTTTCCTGCATCTCTAAAATGGGATTGTGTTTTTGCCTGTTTACCTTAATGTGTGACTCTGATTATCTACTATACCCTTAACTGGACATTAGTGAGCATGTGCTGGCAGATTCTTTATCTGATACATTTTAAATAGTATTTTAAATAGCCCATTTCCTAATGCTTTTCTTGACAAAACTGGAACTGAGTTTTCCAACTGTAGCAGCTCTTAGATTTGAGTCTAGCAAACATCTAGAATAGAATTATATAAATTGCGTGATAACAACTGAACTGGTCTGAATGACACATTAAAATAGAGTTTTATTTACTTCACAGGAGAATAGTTTGCATCAAAATGGGATCAAGCACATTTAGACAAAATCTTTCCCAGACACTATCTTTTTTTAAGCGTCTATTTTGATGTGTTTGTGTGTGTGTGTGCACATGTGGGCAGGTTCCCACAGAGACCAGAAGAAGGTACTGGATCCTCTGGACCTAGAGCTGCCCAACAATAGTGCGAGGAACTGACCTCTGTTACTGAACTGTTTGCAGAAGATTCTGGTGCTCTTAACCACTGACATTTTTTATTTTTATGTTTTAGACTTATTTCAAGACAACCTCTCTTAAATCCCTGCCATATAATTCAGGCTCCTGGTTCAGTATAATGATCATAGCTCAGTACAATGGATGAGGATATGTGCTGACATTGTATGCTATGTTGTATGTTCCTTGTTACACACACACACACACACACACACACACACACACACACACGGGAGGGGGAAATTGAAAGAGTGTCCTGAGAGTGTATGTCAGGTTCCTATGTTAGCTCTCAGTATAAGTGATGAAAGGCAATCAATGTATAACAATTACAACAGCAGTTTCCCAAGAGTAAACAAAAGATAATGGGTCCACAGCTTGTCATTTTGCATGCTAATAGGCTTTGTCTAGGAGACACTGACTGCAAAAGAACAGAAAAATAGCCTGTGGAAACTGTAAGAGACATGAAGGCAATTCCTTTGGAAACAACAAATCAAGAGATAGAGATTGGTGGCTTCAAATCCTTGCAAATCTGCTAAAGAAGCAATATGCTGTCACCAAGACTCTCATGCCTTCTCTTTGCTCTCTGAGAATTGCATAATGTCAGGACTTTTCTGTTACTGTGATGTGTGTTTCTTATGATCTCTTGTATCCATTTTTCAAACATAATTTAAGAGACACTTTGTCCTACTGGAACTGCTGCTCTAGGTGAGCACTGGGCCAGAGTACAGGTCCATCAACCTCCCTACCTCCAAGGAACTTCTTGGGTATGCTCTGAGCACAATGGATCCACCTATCCACTTGGGACCACCTTGAGGCCACACTTGCCTGATCTTTGGACTCCATCACTGATGGCCCTCTGCCAGAGGAGGAGAGACCTTGAGAGTTTGAATCATCCAGAGTTACAAACATCAAACTCCTGACCAACCTATTACCACAGTGAGAGTAGGGTAGAGAGAGAGAGACTCCACTTGCACCCACTGGAAGAAGCGATGGGAAGACAGCAATAAAAGAAAACACCTAACAAAAGAAAGACAAGCATGACACCACCAGAATCTAGGGATTTTACACCAACTAGACCTGAACACACCAAAGCAGATGAAGCAGAAGAGAATGACTTAAAAAATAACTTCATAAAAATGATAGAGGTCCACAAGGATGATGGGAGAAAATCCCTTAAAGAAATGGAATAAAAAATAAACAAATAAATGGAAAGAAATAGAGGAAAAGGCCAAGCAAAAAACATGCAAGTACTGAACAAATCTCTTAAAGAAAGTAAGGAAAGCCAAGAAAAAAACAATCAAACAGATGAAGGAAACAATTCAAACACTTCAAGACCTGAAAATTGAAATAGAGACAGTAAAGAAAACACAAACTGAGGGAATGCTGGAAATAGAAAATATTGGTAAATGATCAGGAACTACAGATGCAAGCATAACCAACAGAATAAAGGAGATTGAAGAAAGAATCTCCAGCGCTGAAGTTAAACTAGAGGAAATAGATTCATCAACAAAAGAAAATCTTAAATCCAACAAATCCTTAACACAAAACATCCATGAAATGTGGGACACTGTGAAAAGTCCAAACTTAAGAATAATAGACATAGAGGAAGGTGAAGAAGCCAAGCTCAAAGATGCAAAACACATATTCAACAAAATTATTAAAGAAAACTTTCCCAATCTGAAGAAGGACATGACCATGAAAGTACAAGAAGCATACCGAAAACCAAAAAGACTGGACCAAATTAAAAAAAAAAAAAAAGTTCCCTAGCCACATAATAATCAAAACACCTAACATACAGAATAAAGAAAGAATATTAAGAGCAGCAATAAAAAAAGACCAGGTAATATATAAAGGCAGATCTATCAAAATTGCACCTGACTTCTTCATGGAAACTTTCAAGACCAGAAGATCCGGGATAGATGTTCAACAAGTACTAAGAATTCATGAATGCCAGCCCAGGCTACTATACCCATCAAAACTCAGTCACTATAGACAGAGAAAACAAGATATTCAATGACAAAGCCAGATTTCCACACTACATATCCACAAATCCAGCCCTACAGAAAGTTATGGAAAGAAAACTCCAACCCAAGGAAGTTTACCACACTCACAAAGAAATAAGCTACAGATAATCCCACTTCACCAGAACCCAAAGGGAAAAGCAGAGCAATTATAATCATTATAACATACCAACAACAAATTTAAAACAAACAAGAACTAACAATTAATGGACCTTACTTTCCTTCAATGTTAATGGTTTTAACTTGCCCATAAAAAGACACAGGCTAACCGAAAGGACTCAAAGACAGAATTCATCCTTCTGCTGCATACAAGATATATATCTAAGCTTCAAACACAGTCATTATCTCAGGGTAAAGGGTTGGGAAAAGATCTTCCAATCAAATGGACCCAAGAAGCATGCAGGTATAACTATCCTAATATCTAACAAGTTAGACTTAAAACCAAAATCAATCAAATGAGATAAAGAATTTCATTTTATATTCATCACAGAAGTCCATCACTACAAAGTCTCAATTCTGAACATCTATGCCCCTAATACAAAGGCCCCCACATAGGTAAAAGAAACACTGCTAAAACTCAAAGCTCACATAAAACCTCAACACACATAGTGGGAGACTTAAAAACCCCATTCTCACTACTAGACAGGACAACCAGGCATAAACTTAACAAAGAAACAAAAGAACTAACAGAGGTTATGTCCCAATTATATTTAACAGACATCTATAGAAAATTCCATCCAAACACAAAAAAATACATCTTTTTCTCAGCTCCACATGGAACCTTCTCTAAAATTGACCCCATACTAGGCAACATAACAAACCTCAACAAATTAAAAAAAAAAAACAATTGGAATAGTCTCCTGTGTCTTATTAGATCATTATACTTTAAGGTTGGATTAAACAACACAAATTGCAGAACACTGAAAAATGCATAATTGCACTATTCTTGGGTCAAGGAAGAAATAAAGAAAGAAATTAAAGATTTCCTAGAATTCAATGAGAATGAAGACACAACATACCTGAACTTATGGGACACTTTGAAAGCAGTGCTATAAGGAAAGGTCATTGCACTAAGTGCCCATATGAAGAAAAAGGAGGATAGTCACATTAGACAATTAACAGCACAACTGAAAGCCCTAGAACAAAAAGGATCAAATGCATACTGGAGGAACAGATGCCAGGAAATAATCAGTTTGAGGGCTGAAATCAATAAAGTAGAAACTAGAAAAACAATTCAAAGAAATAATGTAACAGAGTTGTTTCTTCCAAAAAATCAACAAGATAGACAAACCTTTATCCAAACTAACAAAAAAAGCAGAGAGAGAACATGCAAATCAACAAAATCAGAAATGAGAAGGAGGACATAACAACCGACACTGAGGATATCCAGAGAATATTGAGGTCATACTTTGAAAACCTGTACTCCACAAAATTCGAAAATTCAAAGGAAATGGACAAATTTCTGGATAGCTATTACTTACCAAAAATAAACCAAGAACAGATAGGAAGCTTAAATAGACCTATAACACCCAATGAAATAGAAGCAGTCATCAAAAGGCTCCCAACTTAAAAAAAAAAAAAAAAAAAAAAAAAGGCAAGGGCTAGATGGCTTCAGTGAAGAATTCTATTAGAAATTCAATGAGGAGCTAATACCAATACTCCTCAAATTGTTCCACTCAATAGAAGAAGTAGGTTCATTACCAAACTCTTTTTATGAGGCCACAATTACCTTGGCACCTAAGCCACAAAAAGACACAACTAAGAAAGAGAACTACATACCAATATTCCTCATGAACATTGATGCAAAAATACTCAATAAAATGCTGGCAAATCGAATTCAAGAACGTACCAGAGAAAACA